AAAAAAAAAAAAAAACAACTCTTGGGCTAAAGAGATTCCCCTGCCTCAGCCTCACAGAGTTCTGGGATTATAGGTGTAAGCTACCATACCAGGCCTGTTCAGTTTTTTTTGTTGTTGTTGTTTTTTTAAGAGACAGAGTCTCACTTTGTTGCCTTCAGTGGAGTGCCATGACGTCACAGCAACCTCCAACTCCTGGGCTTAGGCAATTCTCTTGCCTCAGCCTCCTGAGTAGCTTGGACCACAGGCACCCACCACAATCCCCGGCTATTTTTTTGTTTCAGTTTGGCCAGGTTTGAACCCACCACCATCAGTATATGGGGCCGGTGCCCTACTCACTGAGCCACAGGTGCCACCTGAGTATTTTTAACATTTACAACCACAACCTTGTGAGGGTGATGTTATCATGCCCATTTTATGGATGAGGAAACTGAAGCTCAGAAAAGTCAAGGAACTCAAAAGTCAAGGGCTCTAGTCTCCTACTCAATCCCCAAAGTTCAGCCTTGCTCAGTTAACTCCAGAATCTGTGTGGGAGCCAGTAGGACATCAGGAATGTATCATCTATGCCTGACCATGTCTACATGAGGGGGTCAATAATGTGATGACCCAATGCATGTGTGGGTTGGGGATCCCCAAGACCACCCCTTCAGGTTCAATGATTTACTAGAAGGACTCATAGAAGTCAGAAAAACTGTTGAACTCATGGTTATGATTTATTCTAGTGGAAGGTGTCAGTATCTGCTTCTGACACCACTTGTCAGGGCCCAGGACTGGCCAGGTCTACGGGCCCAGCTTAGGTAGGTTCTGGACACAGACCACTAAGCTACCTTGCTCAGGAACAGTTTCTCTTATGTGCTTGAGGGCTATCTACTTTAGCTGGAGAGAGAGAGACAGAGTATCTTAGAGAGAGTAAAGCAGTCTTATTAGAACAGATCTTAGTCTTTAGCAGAGCTTGGTAACCTTCAGCAGAGAGACAAGACAGAGTCAGAGTAAGTGGATCCGGAATATAATGCACATGCTTTTTGACTGCCTTCTCTTCCAACCTAATATAAGACTGATCTTGTGCTGCTCAACACCACAGGTGTAGAGACTGCCAATTCACCAAAGCTCTCATCTCACGAGCTCTCTCATGCTAGTTAGAATTAAATCTCTCTCCATGCCCTTTTCACCAAGGTGTTCCATTACAGGTATTTCCTATAACTCTCACTCCTCCTAGCCATAGTCTATACGGGCTGCTACAGGAAGGATATAGAGCAAAATCAGGAAAGGAAAAAAAGGGCATAGGAAAGTTCAGAAGAAAGTGTCTAGCTGTCCTCTCCTGGTGGAGCCTTATATGCAGCCCTTAAATTCTCCCAGCAACAATGTCTGACAACACATACAAAGTATCTCCAACCAGAAAAGCTCACCTGAACCTCAGTGTCTAGGGTTTTTGTTGGAGAAGCCCCCACGTGGCTCACCTTAGTTTCCTCTCCTCTAGAAGTCAGAATGAAGTAGTGTGGCCCAAAGCCCTGCCATAAACCACATCATAAGACTTACAAGGCTTAAGGCCCCAGGTAACAAAGATACTCTTATCAGGCAAGATTATCGAAGGGTTTATAGATTATCTCTTAGGATCTTGCCAAGAGCCAGTTATTTTTTTGGAATGCACAAGGTTTCAGCACTCAATCCTGCAGAGTTAAACCTTTATTGCACGATTTAAAAGCACTAGGGAAAACAGATGAAATGGGATAAAATCAGGCATGTTAAATGCTTTATTCAACTGATAAAATGTGATAAACATTTAATTTAACCTAATTCAAGGCTGGCAAGGTGGCTCACACCTCTGTAATCCTAGCACTCTAGAAGGCCAAGGCAGGTGAATCCTTTGAGCTCAAGAGTTTGAGATCAGCCTGAGCAAGAGTGAGATCCTGTCTCTACTAAAAATGAAAATCTGAGACAAGAGGATCGCTTGGGCCTAAGAGTTTGAGGTTGCTGTGAGCTATGACTCCGTGCGACTCTACCAAGGGTGACAAAGTGAGACTTTGTGTCAAAAAAAAAACTAATTCAAGGGTAGCACCTATGGCTCAGTGAGTAGGGCACTGGCCCCATATACTGAGGGTGGTGGGTTCAAACTTGGCCCTGGCCACACTGCAACAAAAAAATGACCAGGCGTTGTGGCAGGTGCCTGTGGTCCCAGCTACTCAGGAGGCTGAGACAAGAGATTCAATCACCTAAGCTAAGAGGTTGCTGTGAGCTGTGATGCCATGGCACTCTACCAAGGGCGACAAAGTGAGACTCTGTCTCTAAAATAAAAGAAAAGAAAAGAATTTGGGCTGAGTTAAAGAGACAGAGACAAACTTTCCCTTGAATGGTGGTGTACATTCATGGTATGTGCAATTTTCTTTTCTTTCTTTTTTTTTTTTTAAGAGACAGAGTCTCATTCTGTTACCCTTGGTAGAGTGCCATGGCATCATAGCTCATGGCAACCTCCAGCTCTTGGGCCTACGTGATTCACCTCAGCCTCTGGATTAGCTTGGACTACAGGCACCCACCACAATACCTGGCTATTTTTTGTTGCACTTTGGCTGGGGCCAGGTTAGAACCAGCCACCCTCAGTATATGGGGCCAGAGCCCTACTCACTGAGCCACAGGCGCTGCCAGTATGTGTTCAAGGAAATAAGTTTAGACGTGCTGTTTTCAAGGACTCCTAAGCACCCTAAAGGGACTTATTTACATATCACTGAAATTAAGTGACTAATACCCTAATTAGGGATGTGTGCAATAATGAACAAACCAAGCAAAATGGTGAACATGCGAGTCAGTCTAAGAGCATTTTTGTCCTTTATATGCCATAATTCAATAATTTCAATATGCCTTTGCCTTTAATGTAGATAATTCTATCACTTTTGGTTTTTTTTCTATTAGAAAATGTTGAGAAGCTCATTTGGGGCTCAAAAAGGTGGGGGATAAAGCTGCCCCATTTGAAAGCCAAGGAGGCCTATAATCCTTGCACTCTGGGAGGCTAAGGCAGGAGGATCCCTTGAACTCAGGCGTTCTATACCAGCCTGAGCAAGAGCAAGACCCCATCTCTACTAAAAATAGAACATTTAGCCAGGCTTTTTTTTTTTTTTTGAGACAGAGCCTCAAGCTATCCCCCTGGGTAGAGTGCCATGGCATCACAGCTCACAGCAACCTCCAACTCCTGGGCTCAAGCGAGTCTCCTGCCTCAGCCTCCCAAGTAGCTGGGACTACAGGCGCTCGCCACAGCGCCTGGCCATTTTTTGGTTGCAGCCATCATTGTTGTTTGGCAGGCCCTGGCTGGGGATTCGAACCCACCACCTTAGGTGTATGTGGCTGGCGCCTTAGCTGCTTGAGCCACAGGCACCGAGCCTAGCCAGGCTTTTTGGTGAGCACCTGTAGTCCCAGCTACTCAGGAGCCTGGGGTAGGAGGTTTACCTGAGGCCAGGAGTTTAAGGTTGCCGTGAGGTAGGCTGACACCATGACACTGTACGTGGAGTGACAGAGTGATGCATTAACTCAATCAATCAATCAATCAATGTTTTTTAAAACTGACTTCTATTTTTAAGATAAATAATTAATTAATTAAAATAAATAAAGGGGGTTGCCAAGGTGATTCATACCTGTAATCCTAACACTTTGGGAGACCAAGGCAGGAGGATTGCTTGAGCTCAGGAGTTCAAGACCAACCTAAGCAAGAATGAGATCCCATTTCTACTAAATAGAAAAAAACTAGCCGGGCCATTGTGGCAGGTGTCTGTAGTCCCAGCTACTCAGGGGGCTGAGGCAAGAGGATCTCTTAAGCTTAAGAATTTGAGGTTGCTGTGAGCTGTGATGCTGCATGGCACTCTACCCAGGGTAACAGGTGAGAGTCTGTCTCAATAAATAAATAAATTAATTAATTAATTAAAAAAAGAAAAGAAGGGTGGATTGCTTGTGGCTCAAGTGGCTAAGGCGCCAGCCACATACACCTAAAGTGGCGGGTTCAAATCTAGCCTGGGCCTGCCAAACAATGATGGCTGCAACCAAAAAAAATAGTCGGGCATTCTTGGCAGGCGCCTGTGGTCCCAGCTACTTGGGAGGTGGAGGCAGTAGACTCACTTGAGCCCAGGAGTTGGAGGTTGCTGTGATCTGTGATGCCACAGCACTCTGCCCAGGGGGACAGCTTGAGGCTTTGTCTCAAAAAAAAAAAAAAAAAAAAAGAAAAGAAAGCCAAGGAAACTTGATTGTGAGGTGCTATACATGTGAGGTTTCATGATTGTAACTTAAAAAATACTTGTGTTTGGTGGCACTTGTAGCTCAGTGGGTAGGGCGCTGGCCACATACACCGAGGCTGGCAGGTTCAAACCCAGCCCCAGCCAGCTAAAACAACAATGAGAACTGCACCAGAAAAATAGCTGGGCATTGTGGCGGGCACCTGTAGTCCCAACTACTTAGGAGGCTGAGGCAAGAGAATTGCTTAAGCCCAAGCGTTTGAGATTGTTGTGATCTGTGATGCCACACATTCTACCGAGGGCAACATAGTGAAACTCTGTCTCAAGAAAAGGAAAAAAAAAAAAGAAACTTCTGTTTGTTCCGCGATGATCTAAACAGTGGGTAGATGCCTTCCTCTGGAGTATAGTTCTCCCTCTTGAGAGCCCCTGGTGAGACAGAAATCTTGATTTATAGGCAGAATGGGACATTTTGTCAGCTGAGACACAGATATCAATTTCCAGTGACAGATGTGCTGGACGTTACCATGTCATTGGTCACTTTGTGACTTGTGCCTATATTTACAGAGCAGCTCTCAGAGCTGCAGGTGTTGTTCTGTACACAATTAAAAAGAACTTTGTAACAAATCAGATTGTTCCAACTTTAGAGCCCTCTGAACCCAGACTTATTTAGGTAGGATCTGGACAGCCTTGACAAGACGGGTGGGGCATTTGCCTTTTACCCAACACTCACACCAACTACAGAGAGACCTCCTGATCCAAAGATAATTGGGTTTTCTGAATCTTAAAAATGAATTGAAACTGCGTGAAAGCAGCTGGAGGTGCCATTCACTTCAGTATTCAATGGCCCTTTTGTGACTAACTAGGGGGGAAATATCTCTATAATTTCCTAGTCATTTACCATTTGCTTTCCGCTAAAAACTGGTTTATTTTTCCCTGATGGATGCTGTGAATGTATTCTTCATCATGTTTCTCTTTCTTGGTGTTCGATGTCAGAAAACTTGAGCTAAATTTTTATCTAACCCCTAGAAACATAAACAAACTGTCTTGACATACTTTTATATATTTCTGCTCTATTTGACATTTCTGACATTGGTCTTCTATGTCTCATCCTTAAAACCTTTGTTTTATCTCACTTTGTCACCCTTGGTAGAGTACTATGGAATCACAGCTCACAGCAACCTTAAAATCTTGGGCTCAAGTGATCTGACCTCAGACTCCCAAGTAGCTGAGACTACAGCACCCACCACAATGCCCGACTAGTTTTTTTAGAGATGGGATCTTGCTTTTATTGAAACTGGTCTTGAACTCATGAGTGCAAGCAATCCACCTGCCTTGGCCTCCCGGAGTACTAAGATTCCAGGCTTGTGCCACCATGCCCAGCTCTTTAATTTCATCTTTAAAAGAATAACCATGAGTTTGAAGCAACATGCTGGTGATAAAAAGCCAAAGTTTAGGTTTGAACAGGAGGGAAACATTCATCTGTAAAGATAGGAGAGTAGACAGCTACTCTCCAAGGCAGGAGGCTTGTTTGAGGCCAGGAGTTCAAGACCAGCCTGGGCAACATAGTGAGACTCCACCACTACTACCATTAAAAAATTTTCTAAAATTAGGTGGGTGTGGTGGGATACACCTGTAGTCCCTGCTACTTGGGAGGCTGAGTCAGGAAGATCACATGAGCCAAGGAGTTCAAGGCTGTAGTGAACTATGATGATGCCATTGCACTCAAGCCCGGGTGACAGAGCAAGAACCTCTCTGAAAAAGAAAGAAATGAGCAAACAAACAAAATGATGGGAAAACGGCCCAGAGTCTGATAGAATCTCCTTGCCTCTTGATCTCTGCCATATGAGATCCCTATTCCCCAGGGACAAGTGGAGGGGGTGCATGGCACTGCTTGCCAGGGCTTTGGAGCAGACCTGGGACCTGCCCTCTCCACATAAGAGAAGATTGGATCTGACCTTGGGTGGGTCAAGGTGGGGAACTTTGAACATATGTGCTGGGATATCCCAGAGTGGGGGTTTGCATGCATCCCTGGCCCCATTGCTCTGTCTGGACCTTGGTAACCCCAGCCTCTGCATCCTCTGTCAGCGTCAAGTTCATCAATAAGATCCAATATGTGCACAGCTTGGAAGACCTGGAGCAGCTTATCCCCATGGAGCATGTCCAGATCCCAGAATGCGTCTTGCAGTAAGTGTCCCCGGGCTACCTCCATCCTAACACCCCACCTTCACCCCAAGGCTCCTCCTTGCCCAGTCCCCACAGATGTGGGAAGCCAGCAGTGATGGGAGAAGCACAGACATAAATGGGAACTAGAGCCCACCCATTTTATTACCAGGAGCTTTTCAGGGACCACTCCCAGAGCTGGGGGCCTGAACGAGCAGCTGCAAGTTTGGCTCTTTTTTTAGATAAGCATCACATCAAAAACGCCTCCCTGTTGTTTTATGCCACAGAAAAGTCTCCTTAAGCATTGTTTTTTTAATTGTGGTAAAATACACGTAACATACAATTTACCATCTTAACCATTTTTCAGTGCACAGCTCAACAGCATCAACACACTCACATTGTTGTGCAGCCATCACCACCCTCCCTCTCCAAACTTTCTCATCTTCCCAAACTGAACTCTAACTGCCTGTCCCCTCCCCAGCCCCTGGCACCCACCACTCGACTTTCTGTCTCTGTGAGTCTGACAACTCAAGAAACCTCCTTCTGAGTGGAATCACTCAGGATTTGTCCTTCCGTGTCTGGCTCCTGCCACTAAGCATGATGCCCTCAAGGTCCATCCACGCTGTAGCCTGTGTCAGAGCCTTGTTCCTTTTCATGGCCGAGTGATATCCAATGTGTGGATGGAGCGCGTGTGTTTATTCAGTCATCTGTTGGTGCACACTTGGGTTGTTTTGGCCCTTTGGCTATTGTGAGTAATGTTCCTATGAACAGGGGGGTACAAATATTTCCTGCTTTTGATTCTTCTGAGTATGTGCCTACAAAGTGGGATTGCTGACAACTCATGTTTAAGTTTTTGAGGAACCACTGTACAATTTTCCATGGAGACTACATCAGTTTACATTCTTGGTAGCAATGCACAAGATTTTAAACATCATCTTTCAAATTTCAATTTGTATTCACTTGAGATTGGGCAGTTGTCAACCTAAATTTTAAGAAAGTCCAGGGCAGCACCTATGGCTCAAAGGAGTAGGGTGCCGGCCCCATATGTTGGAGGTGGCTTGTTCAAACCCAGCCCCAGCCAAAAACTGCAAAAAAAAAAAAAAAAAGTCCAAATTTTCTCCTAACACTGATAAAATGGTTGTTTTTCACTCCCATAGTCACATATTCAGAAAATATTAAAAACCTATGTTGTCACGCAGACATCTATAATCAAAAATGAGTCTATTATATTCAATATTTTAAAAATTCAGAAATCTAGGATGGCATCTGTAGCTCAATGGGTAGGGCGCTGGCCACATACAGTGGGGCTGGTGGGTTGGAACCCAGCCCAGGCCAACTAAATAGCCAGGCATTGTAGCAGGTGCCTGTAATCCCAGCAACTTGGGAAGCTGACACAAGAGAATCACTTAAGCCCAAGAGTTTGAGGTTGCTGTGAGCTGTAATGCCACAGCGCTCTATCCAGGGCAACAGCTTGAGACACTGTCTCAAAAAAAATAAAATTCAATAGCCAGGCATTGTGGCAGGCGCCTGTAGTCCCAGCTATTTGGGAGGCTTCTCCTAGTCAAGAGAATCTTCTAAGCCCAAAAGCTGGAGGTTGCTGTAAGCTGTGACGCCACAGCACTCTACTGAGGGTGACAAACTGAAACTCTATCTCTAAAATAAAATAAAATAAAATTGAGAAATGTAGAGGGTCAAAATAATTAGTGGATTATCATGGCTTAATTCTAGTCATAAATAAAAATCCATAATAAACTAGGGAAAACAATTTAAATGAACAAAAACACTTTTTCCTCTGTTCCCAAACAGATGTTTGCTAATATAGATAAAAGTTCTTTTGTAGCTTACCCCCCCAAAACAACAAATAAACTATTTTCCAAGTGTCCTTGTATATGCATCACTTTTAATGGCTACATAATATTCCCCTATCAGGCGAGTATAATTCTTGAGAGGCCACTTCTATGGTTATGAAAGCAGCACATGTGAGGTCAGAGAACAGGACAGTGCAAGGTAGCAGTTTTCAAGCCACAGACCTCTGCTTGTGTTTATAAATAAAGTTTTATTAGCACACCATTATGTCCATTTGTTTACAGGTTATCTGTGGCTGCTTTTGTGCTGCACTAGCAGAGTTGAGTAGTTGTGACAGAGATTGTCTGGTCATTGAAGCAAAAAACATTTAGGTCCTGGGCCTTTGTAGAGAAGGTCTGGCACAGGGACATGTAGATTAACCTATGTCAGGAGGGCATTGCCTTATAATGGCACTGTCACTTAATTCAATCACTAGTGTTGTATTAAGCAAAAAATGTCTGATGAGTCACATCTGCACCAGTGTTGGAATACACTAGCAAAGTAAATGCAGGAAATGTGGGAAAAAGGCAAGAAACTATCAGCTTGGGTTTTATGCATTGCTCTGCAGCCTGGGTTGTCCGTATATGACTATGAGAGTGTTTCTCTGCTCACAAAGAAGAGGAAATTCCGGCTCGGCGCCTGTGGCTCAAGTGGCTGAGGCGCCAGCCACATACACCTAAGGTGGAGGGTTCGAATTCAGCCCGGATCTGCCAAACAACAATGACAGCTGCAACCAAAAAATAGCCGGGCGTTGTGGTGGGCGCCTGTGGTTCCAGCTACTTGGGAGGCGGAGGCAAGAGACTTGCTTGAGCCCAGGAGTTGGAGGTTGCTGTGAGCTGTGAAGCCACAGCACTCTACCCAGGGGAATAGCTTGAGGCTCTGTCTCAAAACAAAAAAAAGAAGAGGAAATTCCCCCCAAAGTGTATCTACCTGGGGAAAAGAGGTTTGTATCTGACACCCTTTTCTACCTTTCAGATATGAGGAGGAAAGACTCAAGGCCAGGAGAGAGAGGTACGTGTAGAGTGCCCTCTGCCAGGGCTGGGGGCGGGCCTGGGTCTTCATGTTGGGGATGCCCAGGGATTTCCACTCAGCAAGAACCAATGTCCTGTGCACAGTTCAAGATCCTTCCCTTCTGGTGAGGGCTTTAGAGTTAGACCTGGGTTCATGACACCTCAGGAACAAAGTAACCAACTTGCCAAAAAGGATGGGTACAAACTTCATGCTCAATAAAGAATAATTGCCGGCCAGGTGGGGTGTCTCACGCCTGAATCCTAGCATTCTGGGAGGCCAAGGCAGGTGCCTAAGGTCACAGGTTGGAGCCTGAGCCAGAGTGAGAGGTTGTCTCTAAAAATAGCCAGGCATTGTAGCAGGCACCCATAGTCCGACCTACCTGGGAAGCTGAGGCAAGAGAATCGCTTGAGCCCAAGAGTTTGAGGTTGCTGTGAAATATGCCACAGCACTCTATCTTTCCTGGGCCAGGGCAAAGAATAAACAAACCATAGTGGGAATGGTGGGGAATGAGAAAATAAGACACACGAGAGAGAAAGATCACACAAGAGATGAAGGTGATGGGGCCAGGAGTTCTGGCAGGGCTGATGGCTGCAGCCAGCACCAAACCTTGTGAGCAGCTTTATTTATATAGTACCTAAACTAGGTTGCTATACTAACAATGTTGCAAATGAGCAGAGAAAGTGGTGATACTTTCATCTACAAAGTTGAGGGGCAGTAATAGTATATGGGGTAAAGATTAACTTATGGAGAGAAGGCTATGTGCTTTTGGCAACAGATAGGAAAGTTCACAGAAGCTATGTGACCTCTGGCAGAGGGAGTAAGGAGAAAGAACTATTATTGTTTTAGGCAGGGAGGAGAAGCAGTTTGGGGGTTGTTCCTTGAACACACCTCCCAGGCTGTGGGGGTCTTGCCACCTCACAATCTTCTGTACTCCACATCTACTCAGGGCAACAAAGTGAGACTCTGTCTCAAAAAAAAAAAAAGAAAGAAAGAAAGAAAGAAAGAATAATTGTCATCATGGTAACATCAAGTTCTCCTTTGAAGCCTGTTACTCCCTCGTGACAGACACAGAAATGCACCCTCACTAACTTGCTGGCCCGTGTCCATTGAGAGCACAGCCATTATAGTCGCACACAGAATTTCAGGACTATTCTGGCCTTGACCAGTTACGGAGTTACCATACCATCTCCTGGGTACTTTTGAATTCCCTCTGAGAGCTAGGACGGGTGAGGATTCCTATCAGCATCTTTCAACCTGGGAATCTGCGGCTCAGAGAGGGCAAGGTACTGCCCAAGGCCACATAGCAAGTCCATGAGTGAACTGAGGCTTTCTGTGGTTCAGAAGTATTTATCATGCCATCCCTGATGCCAGCCTGGAAGGAAACAGAGGCAAATAAGACAGAGTCCTGATTCTGGAAGTTTTCTCAAATAGCATAGGAGAGGGACACCTCACTGGACATGGAAAACAGGACCCAGAATTAAGGGAAAAGCAGAGAGCCCAGTGGGGAGCTGAGACCCCTCAGCCCAGCCTGGCTGGTCTCTCCCTTGACACCTCACTCTTTGTGTACACAGCGCGAGGCCTCAGCCAGAGTTTGTCCTGCCCAGTTCCGAAGAGAGGACAGAGGCAGCAGCAGTGGAGAACAGGTAAGTGTGCAAGTGACTATGGGGCAAGACCAGGGGCTACCAAGGCCCCAGGAGCAGAAAATAGAAGTAGGCACTGCCTTAGCCTCGGAACAAGGTAAGATACACAATCGCATGGTCTCCACATCACTGAGTGGGTCCAGCTGCATTCAACAACCCGAGAGCTGCAGGGGTTGACCCACCTCAATGGACTTTTCCCGGGAGGGGCTGCCCTCAAACTGTTCTGTGAGTACCCACAGAAGTCAAAACCCGAGTGTTGGGGCAGGAGGGTCCCCACACAGAGTGAGAAGTCAAGTGTACTTGTCACTGGTTTTCCCCAAACTCCACCTTCAGCCAGAGTGACTCAGAACAGCATGAACATCTCAGCCCTGCTCTGTCCTAACTGTGACTTCACACACATCCATAACCCCCTGGGCCTCAGTGCTGTCACCCATAAAGTGGAGATGACCACAGGGCCATGTGAGGATTGAATAAAAGAACCCACATTAATGCTCATAACGTCTCACTGAGTTCAAGGCGGAGCCCACAGAAATGTCCAATAAAAGTTACAGTGATGTTATCCTCCCTTAATCAGATGTTATCATAATGATGAAAGGTGACTTTTGTCCGAGCCCCAACAGATAGATTCAGCTTCCCCAAGTCTGGCATGCCTTAAGCAACAGTGTTTTTCTGTTTGTTTGTTTGTTTGTTTGTTTTTTAAGAAAGGGTCTTACTCTGCCACCCTGGGTAGAGTGCCGTGGTGTCACCACTCACAGCAACTTCAAACTCTTGGGCTCAGGCAATCTCTTTGCCTCAGCCTCCTGAGTAGCTGGGACTACAGGTGCCCGCCACACTGTATGCCTGCTTCATACCAGATCAAGATGAAGCAGTGTCAGCCCTCATGGGGCTCACAGCCTCCACCAACAGGTAGAAAATGCCCAGGTATCCAAAACTAGGCAAATAATAACTCCAGGCCCCCTTCTGTCTCCCACAGATCTGCTCCAGCCACAGAAGATCAAGAAACAAGGTGAGTATGACACAGTTCTGGTGCCTTCTTCATTTTATTTAATTTATTTTATTTTATTTGAGACAGAGTCTCACTGTGTCACCCTCAGTAGAGTGCCATGGCGTCACAGTTCACAGCAACCTCAAACTCTTGGGCTTAAGCAATTCTCTTGCCTCTGCTTCCCAAGTAGCTGGGACTACCGGCGCCCATCATAATACCTAGCTATTTTCTTGTTGCAGTTGTTTAGCTAGCTCGGGCTGGGTTCAAACCTGCCAGGCTCGGTGCATGTGGCCAGCTCCATAACCACTGTTCTATGCATGCCGAGCCTTGGTGCTTTTTTCAAAATGTCCTAAGTGGAGGGCCAGTCATGGTGGCTCGATCCTGTAATCTCAAATGTCCTAAGTGGAGGGCTGGGCATGGTGGCTCAATCCTGTAATCCCCTCATGCCTGTAATCCCAGCACTTGGGAGGCTGAGGCAAGAGAATTGCTATAGCCCAAGAGTTTGAGGTTGCTGTGAGATATGATGCCATGGCACTCTACCAAGGGTGACAAAGTAAGACTCTGTCTTAAAAAAAAAAAAAAATGTCCTAAGTGGAGCCTAGACCCAGGACAATTACCCCATGACTTATTTGGGGTAAGGGATGCTACAGCCAGGAGTCAGGGAGGTGGCAGTTACCACAACCAGTTGAGCAGCTCCTGCACATTTCCTGGGGGCACCTTGATATAGGCCAGGATGCAAAAGAGGCCCAGAGATATGCAAGGGTCCCCTAAAGCCCATAGCCTGCCCTGTGTCAGGGATTCCCAAGACCCTCAGGCACAGTAATTTGCTAGAACTCAGCAAAACTATTGTGCTCACAGTTATGGCTTATTACAGTGAAAGGATAAAGTTGAAAATTAGCAAACAGAAGAGGTGTAGATGGTAGGGTTCAGGAGACCAGGCAGAAACTTCCAGGTGTCCTCTCCCAGTGGCTCTTCATTCTCCCAGCAGGAATATATGTCAATACACACAAAAGCACTGGCAACCAAGGAGGCTTACCTGAGCCTTGGTGTAAGGGTTTTTAGTGACAGTCAACTACATAGACATGGATGACTGTCCACATGGCTGATCTTACTTAAGCCGTCAACTGCTCCAGAGGTCAAGCTGACACCATACGGCCCAAGTCACCACCCTAAATCACATCGTTAGCGTAGACTATCTGACATGACCCAAGGTGTCCAAGTAAACAATGACACTGAAACTCTTACCAAGCAGGACACACTGAGGCAGTGGTTCTCAACCTTCCTAATGCCGCAACCCTTTACTACAGTTCCTCATGTTGTGGTGACCCCCAACCATAAAATTATTTTCGTTGCTACTTCATAACTGTAATTTTGCTACTATTATGAATTGTAATGTAAATATCTGATATGCAGGATGGTCTTAGCAACCCCTGTGAAAGGGTCCTTCAACCCCCAAAGGGGTCATGACCCACAGGTTGAGAACTGCTGCGCTAAGGGTTTAGCAATTACTCCCAGGATCCAGGAAAAGGTCAAACTTTTCTTTGGAATGTGTAAAGTTTATCTTTAACTACACACTCACACAAATCGGTAAGATGGCTGGACACATGCCTTAGTACCTGCCTGACACAGAAAACCCCAGGCTGAAAAATACACTTCAAAAATAGTCCTTTTTTAAACTTCAAAAATAGTATTGCCTCAGAGGCACTGAGTAGAATTAAGTTCTCAATGCATTTCTGAAAAGACCACCTCAACCCAAGCCCTCTGGAGATGAGTTCACATCCTCAAACACAGAACATACAAGGAAATCATCCACCATGAGTGAAAAATCAGCAGATACAACACATAGAGGAAGAACACCCCACTCTGGGAGATGTTCTTCTCCTGGACATCCCACTACAAAAGCTTAGGATGGAGATGATAAAATAAGCATGTTTAAAAAAATTAGTAACATAGAAGAAGGAATTATAGGAAGTGATGGATGAATAGATGAGTGGATGGAACGGTGGGTAGGTGAATTGATGCGTGGAAAGATGGATGGGAATATGGGTGGTTGAATGATGGATGGATGAGTAGGTGGGTGGGTAGATGGATGAATGATGGGTGGATTGATGGATGGGTGGACAGATGGATGAGTAGGTGGGTGAATGAATGGGTGGATGGATGATGGGTGGATTGATGAATAGGTGGATGAATGGACAGATGGGTTGAAGCCTCCTTCCAGTCTAATTGAGAGCACAAGTCTCAAGGGTCTGTTTTGCTGGGGCACCAGAAAGGAGGTCCTCTTCAGAGCCTCACTTGGAAAGTGGGTGGGCAGGCCCTAAAGACCAAGTACGTTCTTGCTGTTTAAAGTTCCCCAAAACCAAGTGAGATCATTTTTTTTATTTGCACATAAGTGGAAGAACATTTTCCACTTTTAATAATAACAACGGTGGCCTATATTTCTTTCTAGCATGTCCTGAAGTGATACAAGTATAGAGAAGGACACAAAAGAAGATTCCAGATGTCAGGAAACCTTCGTAAGACGCCCTTGGCCCTGGATCTCATCCCTCTTCATCTCAAGTCCCAATCTTCTGAGGGTGCCAGTTCCCTCCACTCATCTCTGAAACTCAATGTTCTTTTTAGCTGCTTGAAAACATTTTTAAAAAAAACTATGCAGTATTCATGCATTCCAGACAAGGGCCGGGTCTGGGTTCTCCACCTCTCCACACTCACGAGCTCTTAGGCCTGGAAAGTGAGAACTGCAGGGTGTGGACCACGTGGCCCCCAGCGGCCTCTGTTCCTGCTCTCAGCCCTGCAGTGCCCTCAGACACACCACATGCTGTCCCAGCTGGCCCCTGGCCAGCACCAGGCACAAATTTCAAGACCCTTCTCCTGCTTGTCACCTGTAAGCTATCCTAGGTTGGAGCCACAGACACACCCCTATCCCCGGCACTCTAGCTGGGTTTGCATTTGTTCGTGTGCCTTTCCTTCCAGAACACAGCGCTGGGCCTAGAAGCTCAGCTCCTTCCCTCCCCGTTGCAGGGCCATGTCCAGGGCCACTTCCCAGCCTACAACCTTCTGTCCAAAATTCACACCCATGGTTTTTCACTGGACCTTCCCCCTTTGCCTCTAATAACACCTACCTTCTCTGGGACCATCAGAGCCCCCAGCACAAGTGAGACCTGCTGCTAGTCATTCTTGTCTTACCATTGCAGAATGATACCCCACCAATTTAGAATATTCTCTAACCCCTTTAACTCAGATGCCACACACCACAGGGCAATCCAAACCAGTACCTCCAACCAAGCGAATAAGGTGTGCCCACCTCACCACTCCCCCACCCAAAGAGGCTGGCTCCAAAGTGGAAGGGCCCAGAAGCAGGAAGATACAGGGTATTAGACGTTCAAGTGTTTTGAACATCACCTGGGAAAATCGCAGTGGGGGACTGGCTGTAGCCACCTGGACTCCAAGCCGGGAGCAGCAGGTCCTCACTCAGAAGGAAGATTGACTCCTGGATGAAAGACAGACTTTTCTAATGTGGTCCAAACACTATCACCCAGTCAGGTGGCATCTAGAAGCAGTGAGCTCCCCATCTCTGGAGGCATTTAAGAAAAGGCTGGCAATGTTTGCAGAAAGTGGTATGGGAGGTCCCCTCTAATCCTGGGTTGTCTCCATGTCTATGAAACTAAGCAAAACTGGAGCAGGCACACTCTCCAGGCCCCTTTTCCTGGCTTTGCAGTTGTCTTCTTGGCAAGTGCTTTTGAGGTTCAGTTGACCAGCGTCACAATTTACTGAGTTTCTTGGCCTCAGTGGAAATGTTGAGAGCTTCCCCACCAGGAACGGCAAGGAGGTATGTTTTGGATTATCCCAATGAATGGAAGGGAACTGGTGGCATTTAATCCTGAGGGGCAGGGATGAGGAACAATTTGCTGTTATGGAACAGGGACCTGGACATCCCACTACAAAAGCCAGCAGTACCCACCTACAGCAAGCCAGGGTTTCTGAGGGGTCTTGGGCCTGCAAGCCCCACTGTGGAGGTACTGGCTGTGCCAGGGACATCTCTAGTCCCATCATCATCCTAGTGAGGCTGGGACATTTGAGGATCTGGTGGGTTTTTTTAAATTTATGTTTCCCAAATGTCAAATAAAGAACAAAGGCAGGGATGGTGTCCTGGGGTCAGAGCAGTGGCTAGTGGATGGATGGGCCTCTCTTGCTGCTCTCCAGAAGACCTGGCTACCCTGGGGCCCTGCCCATGGCGCCTGCTTTTACAAAAGGTGCTCTGTGAATCTGTCTGGCTGCCCAGATCCACCTGAGGTCGACATATGACCCAGAAGGCCCCAAACTCCTACCCCAATAAATGGCATCTCTGCCTCAGCCAACACAAGATGACAGATGCTGATCCTTTTGTAGTTCATAAGGATGACGATTGGGTTTTCATTCACATGCGTGAGATGTGCCTCCCACAAACCTTGTTACGATGTCAGCACATTACCCATCTGATGTTAAGAAGAAAAAAATGACAGACGCCATCAGACCACTCTGAGGACAGAGCCTCTGGCAGATGCCAGCCAGGCCTGGCCACCACCATGGTTTGTCTCTCGTGACCAAAGGGATATTGTTCCAGCATGAATCTTTCTCCCCCAATAATGACAATAACTCCTGAGCTTTGATCTTCCTTGAAGACCAGGGCCTTCTCCAAGCCAAGTGAAAGAGCCAGAGGTGGGAACAGACTCATTCTACCCAACTGGACAATTAATTATTGTGCCTATAGTGGCAGCGATGTGACAAATAAGGCCCTACCCACCCTCAAGGCACCTGTTCGCTGAAGAGTCTGGCCCCACAAGAGAGCCTAATGGGGACCACTTGTGATGTCATGGCCCACCCACTGCCCCTGCAGATCACCAGCGCAGCAACAGACTATGGGCAAGGAGGACCTCAACTCAGTTGCAGCAAACAGACGCTCCAGAGCAGAAGGAGCCCCTCCCCCCAGAAAGGCTACAAGCCTTTGCCTCTGGGCTGGTGTCCACCTGTCACCAGTTTGGATAGCTCTGTTCAAATAGAGCCACCATCCCCAGGTGGGCCACTTCTGCACCATCCAAAGATCAACTATGACAGATCTGTATCTGGGGGTAGGGGAAACAGTTCTGGACAAAATGCAACAGACCCTGAACGCTTGCCCTAAAGAAATGTTTGATTTCTCTCTGGTGACACATGGGATGTGTCTTTAAAATTTCCCCCAAAGTCATAGCTCGCACGCCCAGCCCTCCTCCCATGGCAAGTTTTGTGGTTTTTCAAAACGAGAAACAATCATGATTACTGTTGTGATGTGAAGACATCATCTCCATGAGCTCTGGAGGATTTTTATGTGAAATAAACAAACTGTCACTGAGAAGGGAGGTCTGTGAGGAAGATCATTATTTTTAAATGTTAATGAATATTTTAAATTCTTCTCAGTTGTCATGTATAATGGGGTAAATATTATTAATAACTGCAATGAATTTAACCAGAAGAATCTTCTGTTCTTTTTGTTTGTTTGTTTTTTGAGATAGAGTCTCACTAAGTTGCGCTTGGTAGAGTGTCATGGCGTCCCAGCTCATAGCAACCTCCAACTCTTGGGCTCAAGCAATTCTCTTGCCTCAGCCTCCCAAGGAGCTGGGACTACAGGCACCCGCCACAATGCTCGGCTATTTTTTGTTGCAGTTGTCATTGTTGTTTAGCTGGCCCGGGCCGGGTTCAAACCCACCACCCTCCATGTATGTGGCTGGCAACATAACCACTGTGCTATGGGCACCAAGCTTCCTCTGTTCTTTTTAAGAGTGACAGGAGATCTTGAAACCAATACATTTCATTTGGGGGCTCTCACCCACTTCTGGGTATAGGTCTCAGCTCCGTGGGTCAGCAGCTGTTTGAACTCAGGCAAGCCCATCATGGCCATGACAACCCAAAACAAGTGACTAAGGCAAAGATCTCAATCACTGGAGGTTTAAAAAGCCAGAGTTTGAAGATGTGCCTAGGGTAAAACACAAACCACAGAAGTATCTATGATCTTTGCTCTCTGTTTTTTGTTTGTTTGTTTGAGACAGTCTCACTATGTCACCCTCCATAGAGTACTGTGCGCATCACAGCTCACAGCAACCTCAAACTCTTGGGCTTAAGTGATTCTCTTGCCTCAGCCTCCCAAGCAGCCAAGACTACAGGCGCCTGCCACAATGCCTGGCTATTTTTTTGTTGTAGTTGTCATTGTTGTTTAGCAGGCCTGGGCTGGGCTCAAACCCGCCAGCCTCACAGTGCCATACTCCCTGAGCTACAGGCACTGAGCTGATCTTTGCTCTCTGAAGAGGGACTTGGGAACTTAGTATTTAACAGGAGAGAGTTTACAGAAAGAAAAAGAAGGGTGGGGTTATAAGCAGCAAGGCAAATGGTTACAATCTGTGAGACTTTAGTTCAGGAGTCCTCAAACTTTTTAAACAGGGGGCCAGTTCACTGTCCCTTAGACTGTTGGAGGGCCAGCCTGCAGGCCCTGGGACGAGGTGGCTACTAAGCAGAATAGGCAGCAGCAGCAAAAACACCCGGTGGGCCGCATGTGGCCCACGAGCCATAGTTTGAGGACACCTGCTTTAGTTAATGCCCAGGAAATCTACATTTCACATAAGATAAGGCAAATGTTAGAAGAGAACAAGGGAGTGAAGGAGGAATCTATTTATTTATTTATTTTTTAGAGACAGAGTCTCACTTTGTCCCCCTCAGTAGAGTGATACGGCGTCATAGCTCACAGCCACCTCAAACTCTTGGGTTTAAGCGATTCTCTTGCCTCAGCCTCCCAGGACTACAGATGCCTGCCCCAGTGCCCAGCTATATTTAGAGATGGGGTCTCACTCTTGCTCAGGTTGGTCTCAAACTCGTGAGCTCAGGTAATGCACCTTCCTCAGCCTCCCAAGTGCTAGGTATAGGCGTGAGCCACCATGCATGGTGGAAGATTCAATTTTTGGATGTCCCTGGGTAGGTGGAAGGAGGAATGACTGATCTTGTCTTCTGTTTTGCACCTGAAAAGATAAACTTGTAACCAGCCTCATTAGCGTGGAATCCAATAGACTTTAGTTTTCTGAGCTAGACTTAGCCTGAAGACCTAAAGTTACAATTTGCATGTTATTATGTATGAAGAATTTCTTTATGAATGATCTGTTGGGGCATCCCTTGTGATGCCTCAGGCCTTTTACCTTTCTATGCATGGAGGACCCTGCTAATGCATAATGTTCATAATGTTCATAACAGATATTCATCTGGAATGGGGTACTGCATGTCTTAGCCTCCAGGTTTGATCTTCTCTTTTGCATAAGGAGTTGGGAGTGGTCCTGAGATTTTCATTTTCATGATAGGCTGCATCCCTCAGCCTTTGATGGGTACAGTGATTAAAAGAGGTCCTTGACCAAACTGTAGCAAGGGTCTTCTGAACCCGAGTAATCCCAGTCCTTGGGCATGCCCTCCAAGAGCCCATTTGCAGCAAGAATTCTGCCTGTTAGGTAGATAGTTAGGATTCCGGCTCTCCTGGAGAAACGGGACAAAGGCAGACCCCCACTCCACCCCAGGCTCCCATCTCAGTGCTGCCCACCTTAATCCTACCCCAAGCAATTGCCTACACTTGGGCAGGAGGGAACACCCTACCAATCTACCAACCAGAACTTAGTTTTCCAACTGCAAAAGGATGCAGAGGCTTACAGGTTATAGGTGGGTTTAAAGATTCTTTGATTTGTAATTGGTTAAGGAGATGAAGCTTTGTCTAAAGCCTTGGAGTGTTTTAAGATAAGAAAGTTATTAATCAGCTCAGTGCCTGTAGCACAGGGGTTACTGCACCAGCCACATACACGAGGTTGGCAGGTTCCCACCCAGCCTGGGCCAGCTGAAACAACAATGACAACTGCAACAGAAAACAGCGGAGCCTTGTGGTGGGTGCCTATAGTCCCAGCTACTCGAGAGGCTAAGGCAAGACAATCACTTAAGCCCAAGAGTTGGAGACTTCGGCTCGGCGCCTGTGGCTCAAGCGGCTAAGGCGCCAGCTACATACACCCAAGGTGGCGGGTTCGAATCCCCAGCCCAGGTCCGCCAAACAACAAGGATGGCTGCAACCAAAAAATGGCCAGGCCTTGTGGCGGGCGCCTGTGGTCCCAGCTACTTGGGAGGC